GGTTATCAGTGTCTTTTGTGTCCTATTACTAAGGTAAACTTAAAAAGTTATCAATTCTTTGTAATGTAGCTCAACGATAGTGATCATTTTCAATTCTGCAGCTCTAGATTGCTTGTATCTGAACACTATCACCCAACTGAAAAGTCAAGTTAGGGTTATATCGTACGCTCTGTCCCACGTAGATAACATAAAGGAGGAAAAAGCCTTCGGAAACAAAAATTGGGTTGAACAAGAAAGCAGGATAGTGAAATGTGTACAAGAACTTCAAATAATATTCAAGTGAGTGAATTTGATATTTCTGTTTGTTATTGTGATGACGATTTTCAGATATATGTATAATGTTTGATTTGGATTTTTTCTCAGTTTTTAAGAATATCTAGTTTTTTTCAAAATTAAACGTTCATGGTTATTTTCACCTTCATTTTCTCATCTTTATATCCCATATTATATTTCATTTATGGTTTGAGCCCAAATAACATTGAAATAAATTGAGTAACTTACTTTTGTCTCTATTTGTTCTGTAAATTCAAATTACTGTATGATACGTACTACTCTCAAAAATAAAATGTATCTTATAACACTGTATCTGGTTTATTGTATTATCAATAATATAGAGTGCGGTTCTGAAGTAACGGATAAATTCATTTTTTACGTAACAAGTTGACTTTCATATTTGAAAATACACTTTTCTAATAAAATTATTCAACTGCCTCAACAACCCCCTAGAGGTTATAGCTACCCCTATGAAAATTTTAAATGAAAAAATGAGACGTTGGTAACGAAAAAGCATTCAATTATTCAATTTGCACAGTTTGTTAATGGCACCATGGGACGAAATAAAGTGTAACGCTTTCAACAATATTTGAAATAATAACAGTCTGAAGCATATGCTAAAAATGGGAACCGTTGATTGGTTTCTTGCCTGATGTTTTAGGTCATCAATATCACTTGCTTTCTCCTTGTAGATTTTTTATTTTAGATAACCCCACAGAAAAAATCAAGTAGAGTTAGATCGCAAGAACAGGCTGGCCATTCAATTTCTCCACGTCTACCGATCCATCGACGGAGAAAAAGTTGATTCAGATAATCTCGTACTGCTGCTGTATTCTGTGAAAATACGTAACTGAATAAGTGTAAAACATTTGAGGAGGTGATTCCCCATCGAGAAAAAAATAGGATCTTTCATATAAAGAAGCTTCATTGTAGCATCCCTTGTTAAGATACATCCCCTGAAAGGGGGTACATAAAATTTGTATGACAATTTTTTTCACAAGCACTAAAAAAGTTACAATATTGCAATTAACCTGACGTTTTGTACTACCAAAAAGACACTTAGCCAGTAATTTATTTGATTTACCC